TGCTTCCAGTCTTCTGACTGTGGTGGGCACAAACCCACTCCTTGCAAGAGTGAATAACGGTCGTTAAATTCTTTGGGAATATGCATGTGTTTTTTCCTGTTGGTCATTTGATTGAGATTCCACGGGCAACGCAACAAGGTTCCAATGCCCAATTATGCGCGTATTGAATCACATAACAATATAAATATGGTTAAAAGACGTTTCAATTGTGGAGAGGCTCAGAAGGCATTTTGGATGAGAAAATGGGACGACACCACTTGAGTCCATTTTCCCAGAGGCATCCCGCTTTCTCTTCCAAACGCCTTCTGGGCCTCTCCATACGTCTTCTCTCCTCGTAGACTGACTCAATCCATCCACCGGCCGACACCTATCGACCGCTCCCCGTCTTCCGCGCGAGGCGGTGAAGAAAGGCCTGTCGCCCTGGAAGGCAGCCGAAAGGGACTAGTTCGTCAAACAAGCATAGACCTGTCGTGGTTTTGTCTTAATTGTGTTAGTCGAGCTGCCTTTGCAAGTTTGTTTGGAACAACCTGTTTTGAGGGATAGGCGAAGAGACCGTAGTCAATTGTCAATTGTTGCCCTCCAGGGAAATGGGGCTGAGAAATGCCGAGAAGATCTATTAAATTCCATTCTTCTTTGGGGATTCTGGCCAGCCAAGCCCGCGGCCAAGATGAAGCAAGTTCGTTTCAGCCAAACGGATCAGAGACCATTTCAGGCATCTGAACCGGAGCCAACTCGAGCCCTAGAGGTGCCACTTGGTGTAACAACACAGTTGTTACTTGTTACATAACGTACTTGTTGTTGGTGGTCATGTTGGCGTTGGTGTTAGTCTGTGATTTCCACCAATCGAAATACTTTAGTGAGATGCACATAAAGGTTACTTGCCTGACACGAAGCTAGTTTGATTGTTGTTGCTGATATTGACGTTGAAGTGCGAGAAGACTGTTGATCAAAAGCTTGGATTCAATATGATTCGATGCCTATATTAATATTATAGATAATTTTGATCAACAGATGCCAGAACCTCTCTTTGTGCATGTGGCTCTATTGCACGTGTTGGATCTAAAGTGGCAATCCCGCTTCACGATGTTCTTCAGCAAAAGTAGCTGTCCTGGATGGCACGTGGCGGAGACTTGCGATCGGTTTGCGATCCCGCACAGGTCGTTTACATGAATCCGGTGGCCATGCGGGCAACACCCAAAGCCACTGGACGATTGGTGGGTCAGCTGCAACCAGGAGACCCACCGGTGACCTTCGAAGTCGTTGCGCACTTTGTGGAGCGGAGGTGATCCGGAGGGAATCCAGTTCGTTGGGAGATGGCAGATGAATGTTCACTCCAAGATCTAGTTTGACCATCCGTGTCCTACCTTTTTCATATTGTTATTCATCCTCTTTACTTGGAAACCCAAAACAACTTGTACTGTTCTACTGTTGATGCCGGTGTCCACATGCCCAAACACGCGTGATCCAGAGTTGGAGAGTCTCTCCTCACCTTTTGAAACGAGGACTGGAGTTGGATCCCTTGGAATTTTTTGATTTGGGCAGGAGAGGTGGCCTATTGCAATGAGAAGCAGCGGAGTGGTGACTGGCTTCGTGTGGAGGAGGTCCTTGCAGTGCTTGAACGCAGCCCTTATATAAGTCCTCAGGGAAATGACTCCTTGATGCATCATGTGTCAGTGAAATGGATTGCATCGGCAACTTAATTCCATTTCATTCCGAGCAGCGCTTGTTTTGCTAGAGAGTGGGTGTGTTCATCAGTGGCTGTGGGGATCTCGTGACGCAGGGCAAGGGAACTCCAGTGGAGATCGAAACGTTAGGAATTGGAGAGTTCCTTTGTTCCCACAAAACGAATGGCCAACAGTTCCATCAGTTCCAATGGCTATTGGTCAAGTTCCAACATCCTGATGGACAATGGTCCATGGTGTCAACCTATTAGGATCCCATAGGATCCCCCGAGCCATGGCCAGTATGTCAAGTGGATGCCATGGAGCTACACTCAATCAGAATCTGAGCTGAGTGGGACAGCTGCTGAGAGAACTTCATAGAACTTCCAAGCTCATGTCCAAGTTGATTATACAGATTCCCCAGAGAGACAGACAGACAGAGACAGAGACAGAGACAGAGACAGAGACAGAGACAGAGACAGACAGACAGACAGACACAGACAGACAGACACAGACAGACAGACAGACACAGACAGACAGACAGACAGACAGAAAGACAGAGAGAGAGAGAGAGAGACAGAGAGAGAGAGACAGAGAGAGAGACACAGAGAGAGAGACACAGAGAGAGAGACACAGAGAGAGAGAGAGAGACAGAGACAGACAGAGACAGACAGAGACAGACAGAGAGAGACAGAGAGAGAGATAGATAGATAGATAGTTGATCCATGGAACTTCATAGTAGCGCCCCCACGAAACTAAGGTGTTGGAACCGTTTCTATCTATTTGGAGACCACAGATTCCACGCCCCACAGGGTCGCCGCACCATCCACAGATTCGCCCGGGTCGTCTGGGTCGAAGAGTCGAAGCTGAACAGGTGCCGGGGCAAGACCTCAACGATGACGCTTGGGTCTTAATTGATGGCACGGACTTCGGCATGGGGATTCTGCTTGAGAAGCAGAAGTGAGAGGACGGAGAGTTCCACGCGCCTTCCTTGTTGAAGGCGCACCGGAACCCGGGAACCTGGGGCCTTTGACCTCGCCTCTGCGGGGTGTGTGAAGCTGCGGGTGGTTCAGCAAAGGCGAACCTCTGCGGGCACTGCAGCCAGTGCGAACTTCCTACCCAATCAGCCTTCCCGGTCGTCCATTCCTCTTCAAATCAGAAATGAATCGCTCATGTCATGACTCATGCAATATATTGATCATTATTGATCTGTTGTTAATGTTGTTTCAGGTATTCTACTGACAGTGCTCGTGGTTGAAGTGCATGATGTTGCGGTTGCTGCTGCTGCAGTTGTTGTTCAAGAAAGGCCAACAGTCTGTGTTGGAGATATATTGGTTGCACATATTGCCACTTGCCCCTGTTGTTTTGCAGCTCCAGTGGCCCCCATTCGGCTACCAGGGAGTGGCACTTGGAAACCTATTAGATTGTGAGTGGGGGCATAGGTTGTGTGGGAACACATGAAGCTGCTTCCAATTCTGAGCACTTGGAATGTTCTTATCACACATGGAAAGCCAAGACAAACGTGCTGAGGCCGGCCAGAGCTTGACTTCGTTTGGAACCTGATCTTGTCTTGGAATTATTTATGGTCATGTGCAAAACGTGTTTTTCCCATTTCAAAAACACATGTCACATGTGCAACAAACAAAGACGGGGCACATGTCAACTTTGTTGGTAGGAAGGTGAGTTTCCAGGCCCATTTTCTGGCTCTCAAAAAGATTGTTCACCAAGTTAGGACTCTTTCACATATAGGGATTTCGTTGCATGTTTCATGGTGCTTGGTAGCTCAATTTTTCTGCTTTGGCTTTTCACCAGCAAAATGCCAAGATCCTGCAGGCAGGTCATAGAATTGAGCTTGCTTTCATGAATGAATCTTTGGGCAGAAGTATTAAGGTTTCGTGGTGCCCGCTGTTCAGACCCCCGTAACATCCCGCGCGCTGACCCGCTTCACGTCCAAGAGCTTCACTGGAGGGCGCCGTGCCGACACATGTTCGTTGCACCAGTGTGCCCTTTGTGCCACTTGGAACTGAGATAGTTATAAATTCAAGCTGCAAAAATAGGGTTTAGAAAGTGAATGCCGATACCCGTTGTTGTGTTTTAAGTCCAAGAGGCATGTCTTCCACAACTGGTCCGACCAATCCCTTTGGGGAAAACCACGCGCTCGCCACAAAACGATCTCGGGCTGCACGCCTTTGAGCTTGGCGGGATTCTTTGAAAAACACATCCCCATTGGCCTGGGATTTGAAACGCCTTTTTCATTTCAAGTGGAACATTGAAGAAATGAGTTCTTCGCAAACCCCAAACCCTTCAACGTCCTTCAACTACAAAGGCTCTTTTGTTTGTTTGTTTGTTGGATAACTTGGAGAGGAAGATGCCGTTTCAGCATGATCCAATCTTACAGCAGTTTTATGCCAAGGATTCCATGGTATTTTCTCCGCATGCAATCCCCATCTAGAGAATGTTATGCTCAGCATACATGTAGCTGAATCCAAGGCTCTTTGTTTGGTGATTTTTTCTACGCGGGTTTCATGGCAAGGGTCCAAACAAGAAGGACAGGTTGCTTTCCCTTTCATGAATTATTGGTTGGGGGACCGGGGATGACCAAAAGACCTTGAAAAGGGGACCTCCGTTGCGCCACCTTCCTGAGTGACGGCGATGTGACGGAATCCGTGATTTTCCGCAGACATCCAGAACACCTCAAATCGATTCCTTTGGCTGTACGCGCCAAATTTGAACATCAGGCGGGTGGGCTCGACGTGATGGTAGAGTCCAGCTGGAACGAATGTCCTGCGTGACGTCGGACGTCAGACTGGGAGTGCTTCGATCGGCTTCGCCACACCTTCGTGGGTTTGGTGGGTCGCTGCTGGAAAAGGCATGGGAGAACCCACCAGTTCTGGGGCATCTGGCCTCGCAGGACTCGCATCCACCGCGGACTGACTGGTAGATGTGTTGGGACAGACCAGATGACGTTTGGACGATGTTGGTGACTGACCAAGGTGACTGATGGACTCAAATGCAAAGAAGCATTGGCTCTCAGTGAAAATGCATTGGCTTCAAGTCAGGGCCACTCTCACACTCCAACAGCCCAAGTCGAGTCATGCCCACTCTCATTGTGTGATGTGAAGCGTCATGCAGATTCAAAGTCCTTTCTTGCCTTTGCACGGGGATCACCACGGAAGACCAAGTACAAGTACCTCAAAGTAAAGATCTTTGCTCCCTTTTATTTGCTTGCCAAGCTGTATCATGTTGTATACACTTCTGGAGTTTCCTGCATTAACTTGACCTACAACACGAGATGTTTGTTGCCTTTGCAAGCCTCAAAGCGGCAAAACACACGGCCAGGGCTTTTTCAGCATGGGATGCACTTCCAGCACAGAGCTTCCCACTGGTGTCCAGTCTGCACAGAGCGCTTCGTTGAACTCGAGGTTGCGGGCGTTTGGATGCACAGCCAGCTAGTAGCGTCCTTGCTCCTAGTAGCGATGCCAGGAGCCCCTAGTAGTGTCCTTGCTCCTTAGTAAATGTTCCACTCGAGGAACGAATTGATTATGGAACTTACAGCGCAGCGGCATGCATCGTTGGGATGGGGAAGAGTGCGGACGTAAAAAGAGTTGAGGTATATAAATATGTTGAGAGCCAAACCATAGCTGAGGAAGTTCATAAATGTAGTCCACTGGTTTATTTGATGGACGCATCAGTGTCAATCTCCAGGTCTTGCTTAGGTCAGAAAAACTTCGCCAAGGACAACAAGTAATAAGGCCCAATCCGGTTCACATTGAGAGCAGACCTCAGCAGTTTGGCCATTTCGGCCCAGCACGGGGCCTCTACCAAATCCCCTCTACAAATTCCGCTTGGAAAGCAACGATGGTCGGCGATCAGTCCTGAGACTTCAGTCACGCGACCGCTGTAGCGCTAAGCGTCGCTTAGACCTGGACGAAGCAGGAAGGCGGAAGGCACTGAAGACAAAGTAGATTAAGCAGGAAAATGCACCATGGAATAGTATTTTCCTCTATATAAATATATACGTATACATCATATATACACAGAAGATGCTTTAAAACTTACATTATCGGATTCACCAGTTGCCAGTTGATGTCAAGCCATGTCAAGCGACGCTTGCTTTGGTTCCTCTTCAACTTTCTCCCACCACCCTATAGGCTTTCAAGGCTTCCTTAGGTCTAAACTCTAGGCTTAAGACTTCAGACACCACCCATCACCACTGAACTCTTTCCTCTAAAATGGTTTCCGGCCATTTGTGGTCATCTTTTTGATTCAGGCCTGAGGCACCCCACAGATCCAAAGAGCCTGTTCAATCCGAGGTGCGGGTTTGAGGTCACTGAACATGCGCGACGCGGCGGAAATCAGGTACAAGGTGTGGACGCCGGGGAGGGGAGAAGGACGCCAAGAATCTATCTCACAATACTCCAATAGAAGACGTCATAGAAAAGACAGTCCCTCTTCCATCAATTGCCCATGGCACAGCTTAACAGTATATACATAACAGGTCATTTGGAGAATTCGAGGTCCTGTTGGACGTCGTTTCTTGGACGTGCTTTTGCTACGCATTGCTACAAGGGAGTGGACCCCTCCTGCAGCTGTTTTCGTTCACCGCTCGCGCCTTTGCTGACTCTGCAACTGCACAGCTTGCAGCGCAAGCTGGGTTGATGCATCATGTTGACTGTGCCTGACCAAAGTCTGCCGAAAAATAAATACATACTTTGGTCACTTGGTGGGGGCATAAACTTACATGAAAGCCAGGCATGAGGCCGTGCAATCAATCCTTTTCACCAAACTGGACGGGGACATTCATCTAATTTCATGCGCCCTTGGAAGACATTGAAATTGTTGGCTCACCTCCAAATCTAACCTTTGGAATATCATCTCAGAATCATCTCCAATGCCCCATACAGGATGACAATTCTTGAGTCTACTCCCTGTGTCAGGATGAAGATGGGAACATTTACAACGAGTTTGAGATTGAGGTCCAAGCTTCTTAGCACAAAAGGTTCGGAACTGGCAGCTGTCATTGCTTTGCGAAGCCATAACATCATTTTGCCCGGTGGACCAAAGAGTTCATGCCAGCACCAAGTAAACGGCCTTACACAATGCGGATATCCTGCAGATAACATATGAAGATACAAGGTGTTGATTTCCAGATATAAGTAAGTTCGTCAATGAGACCAGGTGTTGTTGCACATCTAAAGATGACTTCCAGAGTGGTTGAATCATTGAACCTATAGCAGTGTTCACATGTGTTCACTACATGATGTTCGGAAAGAACCCGCCCGCGACATACGCCTCAGACGCTCACGTCGACGCCTCGGTGGGACGCTCACGTCGATGCCCATGGTCCCAGCGAGCTGTGTGCCGTGATGTGGTCCCATCGGGCTCGTGTTGAGAACGAACGGCACGTGATGAAACAGGCAGAAGCAAGGAATGATCAGCACCTCGACTTTCTGCACACCAAATACCGTAATAGCAACCCAGCTTTACGACCACCACTGCACATCATTTGTGTCACCCCACATATTGCGCATCCCATGTTCTTGCCTCCTCAATCAATTCCATGACCCATGCTCACGAAGAAACGCAATGAAACACCCTTTCCACACCTTCCAGCCACCCAGACCTGGCAGTAGACAACGGCGGACCGCATACACCAGCAAGCAAGCTAAAGCGCAAGCTAAAGCGCACTCGGCCGTTCCAAGGAGCGTCGCCCCAGCTTCCATTCCATGGACTTCGTGCCCCGGTCGCGGAAGGAGGCCGCCACCTTGCCGCCCATTGGCTCGACACACCGACGGCATGTCGCCAAGCCGCTCGGAAGGAGCGGACGGGTGAAGGCAGCGTGACAGGACGGAGCGAAGGTGGACGGTGCGAGAGACCCAGGTGAGGTTAGTGCGGCCGGGAAAAAGGGGGTGTTCTTCAGCTTAAGAATATGTCATGTCATACTAGCAACAAGTGCATCGCTTCTAGTAACAAGTGCCTTACTAGTAGTAACAAGAAGCTAGTAGAAACTCTAGCATGCAAGAAGCCTTTGCTCAATCCACCGTGGCACGATGATCTGGATGGGTCCGAGCTGGAGCTCGCTGCAATGAATCGATGCACGGCCGTGCTGACAGGGTGGCCCAATGGGGCCGAGTAGTTCAATGGCCCGATGACGAAGTGCATCGCTACGAACGGAGCAAGAAGCTACTAGTAGCTCCTGGCCTTACTAGTAATGAGAAGCTACTAGTAACAAAGGGCATCGCTACTAGTAGCTTCTTAAGTTACTAGTAGCGATGCTCTTTGAAACTCTTTGTGCCATACAGGTTCTTAGGATGAAAGGCATTAACCGATACAGTAATTAGTTTGCCTTCCATGCAAACCACAGCGTTTTGATCAAACAGGGTTCGCAACTGTAACAGCAACAAAATGACATTCCTTGGCGCTGTGCCATGTGAAAAGCCCAACCAAAACCACACTCAAAATGCATCCTTCTATTGGCATTAAGCATGATGTGCCGATGGGAAACCTTCATTGCAAGGACCTGGGTTGCTGGTCGTGGTGGTCTGTGCCATGGGAATTTGGTGTTCCCGGATGTGTTGCTAGGACTTTCCTGGCTTACAGTATTGAACTGGTGTACGGTGTACTTGTCCAATATTTTGGACTACAGATGGATCATATATCACCTCTTTGTGGCCCTTGTGACCTCAACATCTTCCGAACTCCCTGACGTTGACGTGAATTCATCGTTGCTTCGAGAACCCGTCGTGGTCGTTTGGACCCCAAGGTTTGGCAAATTCCTGGAGACCCTTGAGCACCAGGAGCTGCACCGCTTGGTGCTCCAGAAGCGGCGCGATCACCTGGTGCGCAGCTTGTAGGGCTTTTGTGGCGCCTTGGACAGCAAACTGCTGGAGGTTCTGTGAAGGGTCTGGGGAAGGAGAGGATGTTTTGAAAATGTTTGAGATCGAATGAAAGATGAAAGATGTATTTGCTGGTACTTGTAGGTGTACCTTAGACTTCCAGTCAGAATTAAAGTTTGGACATGATGTTTTTTGCGCCTGACGAAAAACGCCCCCTGCAAACAGTCGTGGGGCTGAGACATTTCAATTGTGTGGAGTGTACTGTGCGGAGTGGTAGCTTGAGTTTGTGTTTTTGTTTCTTGTCTTGTGACAAACTTGCCCAGTACAAACTATGTGCGAATGATTTGTTGCCACTGCCAATATCATTATATATAAGGAGATTTCCCTACGAATGAGATAGATTTCGTCGCATTTGAGACTCGACTGGTCAGCCACTCCACATTGCAGCAGGTCTGGCCCAGAGCGGTGATGCCCCAGCCACATGATGGAGGGGATAGGAGGCTTAAGTTACCTGGCATGCAATATGCTTGAAAAGCATGTTGCACAAACTTCATAAACTTAACTTAGTGTTGAGTTATCCAACTTTTGATTGAGGTTTTTCCAATCATGTCGTGTGAATGCCCCAAAGACATCTTCTTCAAGAGTATCAGATGATCCAGCCGAAGTTCTTGTTTCTGGTCGTGGAGTTGATAATTCTGTTTCTTCATCTTCAAGACTATCAGATGCTTCAAGACTATCAGATGCTTCTTCGACTTCAAGACTATCTTCGGATCATGGCAGTACATGGATCGAAAAAGATGTACGTGAGGCCTTTCTGAAATCTTTAGTGCCACAGGCATCAAGCCAGTCAGGTGCTTCCTTGGCGTCAAATCAGTCAAGTGCTGTGTTGGTCAACCCTGAAGGCCAAAGGCCAGAAGTGAAAGTTTGCAATTTTTCACTGGAGGGGTTGTTGGAGTTCAAATGTGATCACGTCGAACACACAGCACACAAGATGACCCCCAAAGCTTTGCCAGCAAGACCGAACTACGACAATCGCAAAAGAAAGTTTATGGCGATCCAAAGGGAGGAGAGAAAGAAGCAGCTTTGTTTTGACTTGACATACTTTTGTATATTTTGCTGTGGGTTGGGAGCTGGTGTGTGCTTGATCGGTCCGGCCTGTATGAAGCATTTGAGTCATCACTTCAACGGCCAAAGCCTTTCCAGGGTACAACGGCAATTGAGACGCTGCAGCTGCAGTTCGGGCAAATTGCTTCAAGAAATTTACAGTTGGAAACTTGATGCACTTTCTAACACAGTTCTGGTCGCTTTGCAAAACGCTTCAAGATGCCTTTGCTTCTACACTCATGCCTCAGCTATCATTTTAGATGATTTGTGGTTTCCTTTCACTGTTTGAATTGAGATGTTTTTCCTGTATTCGGAAACTGGGTTGAACCCTAGGTTCACAAGATTGGTGCTGCTCCTGCTGGTACCTACAGACAGTGGATGTTGCTGGGGCTCCGAGTCGGCCCACGATGTCTGGCTACGATCCTTGGCATTGGATACAATCGTCTGCACTCGGCATGCAGCGGGTGGGTTGATCTTCGCTATCGGGCCTTTGCATTTGACACTTCGGATGCATTCACTTGAATGTTCAACTGTCGCAGCTTTGGATCCCAGGTTTTGGAAGAATTTAATTTGGAAGCGTCACAGGTTTGGAATGTTTCCAAGGTACGGAGAGTCCATGCTGTCAAGCAACAGAAGATAGATGCTTTCCTTATGAAAATGTACCATGATGCAGCTGGTATGCTGCCAAACAAGCTGCTAGCTCACAGTAGTTCTTGCTTGTCTCAGCGTCATTCAACCAATTGTAATGACGCTTGATGTAACCAATGCATCCAACATACTGACTTAAGGTTCCAAAGGGGAGCTCACAAGCGAAAGGGCAACAGCGATGACTTGCAAGTTGTCTACCGCCTTGAAGAAGACGATGACGATGAAGGAGAGAAATCTGAACAAACCAGAATGGGTTAAGGCTACATTGTTTTGACTTCATACACACTAGACTCACTAGACATCATACTATGCTCTGACTTGGGTGCGTCAGGGTCTGACTCGGAAGACGATCTCCCTGTATCTGCTGATGAGTTTACAGTTGATGGAGAACGCTTGGAAGACGATGAGGTCTTACGTCTCCACGTGATGGGAGTTCAGTCGTTTTTCAACAAGTTACTTGCCTAGTCACATGTGTTGGAATTGGTTCATTCTGCTTTCATCGTCAAACGCATTCAGTGAGAATCCCAGGATAGTTGAATGCAACTTCAGCTCCAGAGTGCAGGGGCTCCCAACAAGATTCTTACCACCAGGTTCTGTGAAAATGATCTACATGAGGTTCCGGGAGACAAATCCTGGAGTTGCGCCACTTGGCATTTAGGGTATTTGTGGCTAAACATGGAAATCCCATGGACCTGTCAACAGCTTTGTTTCAAGGTACGTCACGTTCTGGCGCCGATACAAGTCCACTTGGGCAAAAGTCTTACGATTTTTGCCACCGAGCACTCACGCCGTATGTGACGCTTGCTTGGACTGCAAAGTGAAGTTCAAAACTGTGAGGGCCACTTGATGCATTGCCGTGGATTTGTGCGTCATAGACATAGACATAAAGTAATTCGACATTGGGCTGTGTTTTTGATGGTGGTTCAGAGATGGCGTTGGAAAGCAAGCCATTGAGGACAGCCAGGGGAAGTACGAAGTGGCAAGAGACTACAAACACCACCTGGACGAGGTGTCCAGGGACAGACGCCTTGAGAGCTTTTTAGAGGCCAGGGCATCTTTGGCATGCTTTGATCATCTTTGACTCAATGTAAAAGATCTTTAAAATTAAGCCAGAACCAGGAACAGCAGCCATTAGAGAATGATGATGACAGCCCATTGACGATCCATTGGTGCCATTGGGATACTTGTCTGCAGGATGTGTTTCAGATGTTTTGTCAGATGTCCTTCTGACTAATCTTTCCTAATTAGGATGGAATGGATCAGTCAAAGTGGGCTCTGCCCAGAAACCGGCTGGCGCAGTCCAGCCGGGAGACAGCCCAGCTGCTCCGTCCCAAGACAAAGCTGCACTGTGTCTGGATACATGGGGTATCCATGACACTGTATTTGCTTCACCCTGGAGTGGCCTCTGACAGTTCGATGGTGTGCGAGTGCTTTATGAGATCGTTGCAAGATTGCTCTGAGATATTCTCGAAGCACCAGAAGAAGATGCCATCAGAAGTATACATACGGGTGACTTAGTGGATGAAAACATTCAAGCTTCTGCCTTCACATGGCGATGTTGTTTGATGTTTACTTGAATTGGCTAGGCGGACAACACCGTCAGAGAGACGAAGAATGGATGTTGTATGAAAATGATGTGTTCGCTTCTCCAGAAGCTCCACGTGGTGGTTGCTGGGATGTTGTTCCCACGCGTGGGACACAGTCATGGAGCATTAGGCTACTCGATGCTAAATAGTTGACCTTCTTCAAAGCATTCATTGTTGAATGATACATCATTTGTTTTGGACAAACTGAGACCAATTTTTCGGGGTCCTGGCCAGCTGTGTGAAGTACGTGGACCTTATTTGTGATCCCACAGACTGCATAGTGCGACTCATCCAAATCTAATAGTAGTCAGCAGTGTGAACTTTTTGCAATTTTCACCAAAACAGCAATTAATTTGCTTCTTCGGCCGACACCTAGGAAGCTGAAGAACATTTTGGAACGCATCAACATCAGGCGTTGGATTGGCCAAAAGGCCATCATCAAAGTGGAGTGGCTGACCAGTTGTCGACCATGGAAGGAATGGTTTCTAGGCAACCATCATCACATTCGCTTCATGCGTACAATTGTTTTGCACCCACGTCCAAACTCCAAAGTGAGCCAGCGCCAGATTCTTTTTCACGACGCTCCCAGGTTTGACCATCATCTTCCTGTGACCTTCCGGGGCGGGATGAAAGTGGATGAAAGCGCCCATCATTGCTACTTGTTTATGCTGAGGAAAGGCCTTTGGGTGAATGGGGTTTTGGAATGCGAGGTCAGTGTGAAATGCGTCACTCTTTCCGGGGTACTTGTCATGTTAAAAATCATCTCGCCAGATTGCCCGCGCAACCTGGTGATCAAGTGCGACAACCAGACTGGTACGCATTTGGAACCCCATGAGCTGGATGTTATTGTGACGGTAAAGACGAATGCTGCTGACGACTTTCTGTGCCAGGCCATGTGCTCGAAATCGAACAGAAAGTGGTTAACTGTAAATTGTATGTTACTGTAACATACTGTAACCCCCCTAACTAAATGAGATGTGGCACCTTAGCACGCCAGGAAGCCATTTTGGCCATGCCCTACCAGTTCATGGAGCCTATCGCGAACAGCGCGCCCACCGCACCTCGGAATCTCAAAAGGGTACAACCTGCAAAGGCAAAGAAGTACCTCGAGTTCGCTCAAGTGCTGTTGCGTCGTTTCCCTTCCGACACAAGCGGACGGGCAATTCAATTTTTTGTTGATTTGGTGAAGTGCACTGATCCTGGGCCATTGTTCCCTTTGCCATTTTACACAACGGCTGGGGCCGTTGAGAGGATTGAAATTAGTAGGCCCACTGCACTTGGCAGAATTGTCCCAGCAATGGTATTCCAAGCAAGGATTGGCCGGTGAAAAGTCAATTTTACTGTGAACTCAACCACCACACCTACATCGGTTGTGTGAAGGCTTGTGGTTCTTGTGTTCATTATTTTCCGTAGCCATTTTCTGAGTCCTGATCAGCATCATTTGGGTAAGCTAGGACTAGGATGCCAAAGCGTGTGTTTTCCAATCACTTGAAACGTACTGTGGCCAGTGGTATCCGCCCTTCATTCAGGCCGAGATGTTGACCCCCCCACTCACTAAAGCCACATGGGCTCATTGCCGCCAGGCGACTGAATGCTCAGGCCAACTGGGTGAAATGCTTCGCCCATTGTTCAAATCCAACCAGACCTTAATGATGTCTGACTGCTGGGCATGTGGACCGATGATTTGAATACCGAGGACCGAGGAACACTTGGCCACCAACCTTTGTGGAGAAACATGTGGAAACCGGATATGAGCCCGTATTGACCTTATCTTGGAATATTTGGTTGGCAGGACCCCCAGGGCACCTTTGAGCACTACCAGTCACAAGTCCACAACCTGGGCTTCGAGGACACCTTCGAGGACACCCTCAAAGACACCCAAATAGATGTTGAACCTGGTGTTGAGGCCAGGGTTGGGCTCAAGGATCCTTTTCCACCCATGAGTGGTTTTTGACAGGTCATCACCATAGATGATTCACAGGCAGTCTGATGGGCACAAGGGTCATCGGTTGCTTCAGTCATTTTCAGTCCAAGTTGAACTGTCGCGAGGAAATCTGAAGCCAACGCAACTCAATGTTCCAATCAGGTGTGGTTTTATTCACTGACTAAACTGTCAAGTTACGAGTAGCATCCTGACATGAAAGCTTCTTTACTCAGAGACCGGACACAGCATGCCGCAGGATCCATCATCAAAGCGTGGACATCATGGTGACCATCCTCAGACGCCACGGGAAAGGACTGCTTCCTTGTCTAGGATGTAGCTTCTCCCAACCACTTTGCGCCCAGGATTCGAATCCCAGTCGTCCAGTCGCCTGCAAGTAGCTGAGATTAGCATAGCATTTTACTAATTCATTGAATAATTGGATCTGATTTGATCTGGAGCTGTTAAGCAGCTCTGAAAGCAAAAGAATCGGGTTCTTAAGCTCGACCACGCAAAACAATGAAATCTGGACGTGTTTGGGGGTCCACTGCATGTCCGCTCTTGAAACACAAGACTGAGGTGTTGCTCAGTTTGTTCAGGCGTGTGTTTGTTCAGGGACTCGCTTGCTCAAGGTGGCCAGTCATGGCCCCCATAGGTTTGAAGCACGCTGTGCGTGCTGTTGCTGGCGCCCCCATTGGTGCCAAGTCAAGACAAAGGACAGACTTTCGAATGTTTCGTGGTTTGGTTGAGTTTCCACCAAACCCCCAAACCCAAAACTAGGTGTGTATCTAGCTATCAGACCTAAATTTGGGTAGGACCGTGGACAATGTGTTGAAGAACGAGAAGCAACCCGAAGAACCAGGACTTCCAAGGCCATTTGCCAAAAAGTAAGCTAAGCACGTTGACTCAAAACATGGCTTAGTATTCAACTTTGTGTATGGGCAGGCCCAGTGAATTGGGACAAGCTTCAGATCCAGCTTCACGCGGAGATGCGTTGGCTTCTCAATGCCGAATGCAGTCTCAGTCTACAGAATACCTCGCCGACGGTGTTTTCAACGAAACAAGTTTTGACGTGATAGCAAACGGTAGCAACTAGAGCTGATACGATGTCTGACTTCGGGAAAAGAGTGGAAGCAACATCTTGATTTCATTGAAGAGGCTGGGTTTGGATAACGCTACACCATTCATTCCGATGCAATGACCATTCTACATGTCATAACTGTAACGGTCAGGTGTGTTCAACTGGTACTGTGCCCTTGCGTTTTTGTTCATTTCTGAACGATACAAAGCGTGATTGACTCAGGTCCCGGTGGACACAACCTGTCAGAGGTGGTCAACCCTCTTCAACTGATTCCACGGGTCCAAGGAGTGTTGATGTGAGGGTTGCCTTTCAATGCATCAAACATCTTGCCTGCTTCTTGCCCTCCAGGAAGACGAAGAAAGCACACCTAAAAGATGTCAAAAGGCTGGCTGGAAGCCCTTGTGATCACTACAGTCCTGTGTTTTCCCATGGTTGTTGAACAGTCAAAACCTGGGACAGGAAGAAATACCCGAAGTGCACCGTGTATGCTGGGGCATCAAGCCACCCCAGTGGCTTCGTGAGTGTGGAAGATGCTTACCGATGGCCCAGTATGTTTATGAGCCGTTTGAGTATGGCCTTTGGGACAAACTGGGTGTGTGAACGGCTGCAGTCATGGCGATGGAGTTTTACATTCAGTGGTGTCGGATGCCCTGAAAGTGTCACTAGCCTGAGATGTAGTTTTAGCTCTGAATTCCCCAGTCAATTTGTGGCCCTGTGATTGAATTTAACCAAGCCTTCTCTGCCTGAGGCATTGGCCTCGCTCCAGCTCGCAGCATCCCAGCTGCTCCTTGCGAATGGCTTTGGCCCTCCCAGTGATGAAAATCCGCACGTGAGCATGGAGTTCGCATGTGAGATTGATGAATCGTGCCAGCGCGTTCTTGCCAATACCTATCAGTGCTGTTGTTTTCCGGACATTTTGTCCTTGGACCTCTCCAAACCAAAGCAACACTGTGTGACCCACAAGAAGCAGTGCTTGGTGAGAAAGACTGGCATGAAATTGAAGAAAAATCATGGCAATCGAAACTTAGCTAAATAAATCGAAAGGCAAGTGACCAAATTGTCCCGCAGCTTTCTTTCCACGTTTTGCGCAACCTGCTACCTTGAAGGTTGAGGAGCCAAAGGCTGAGGAGACACCTGTTGAGCACAGAACAACAACCACTCCCAAGCAGACCATTTCAAAGCCTGAGACAACCGGTGAGCAGGTGCCACAGGGTGATCAATCCGTTGTTCCGTCCAAAACGGACGCCAAATCGTCAAGGCTTGCAGGCATCCTGAGACAGCTCAAGACTGAAACCGCCCCACAGCCAAAGGCCCCTACAAAACCAACTCCAAAACGCAAGCAGCCCAACAAGGACTCCACCGACGCTGCGCCAAAGAAAAGGCAAAGGAAGCCAAACAAGAAGGATCCGCCCGTGGCCGAAGAACCTAAGGCCGAAGAGAAACCTGAGACAATGGAGAAAGCTGAACCAGCACAGCAGGCTGAGACACACAAGAAAACAAAGGACGAGGAGGCAGCAAAGGAGGAGACAAAGGACCAGGAGGCAGCAAAGGAGGAGACAAAGGAC